TGCCTTTCAACGTGGCGTGTGGTTACATTGTCCACCACTTCCCACTGAGGATTAGATCTTCCATTGCATAAATTGACTTTAAAATATGGAAATCTCTCTTGTTCTTGCATTGAGGTCTGAAAGACTCGTGGGCCAGTAGTTCGAGTTCAGAAAATATGTCTAATACAAATTCATATAAACATGGAGATCTCCTTTGTCTGAACATTTTTTAAAAGATTTTATTTATTTACTTTGAGAGAGAGGGGAAAGGAGGGAGGAAGAGAAGGAGAGAAACATCAGTGTGTGGTTGCCTCCTATAAAACCCCCAACTGGGGACCTGGCCCACAACCCCAGACATGTGCCCTGACTGGGAATTGAACTGGTGACCCTTTGGTTCACAGGCCAGCACTCAATCCACTGAGCCACACCGGCCAGGGTAGGCTGAACGTGTATTGTTTGGGTTAATGTGGCTTCACACTTGCTGTGACTCAAGCATTAGTTGTGACGTCACTTTACTGCGGTACATGTTTCATATCTAAGTGCGATTTAGCCTTGTACTTCTAGGTTGAGTTTATTAAGAAACATAATTAATTTTGCAGAGCCTCTCAGTGTTTGTGAGGTAGATGAGGGCAGCCCTTCTTCAAAAAAACTGGATCCTGGCCCTGACCTGAAAATACCAAACAAAATGGCCAACCGTTGCTAAGACTTCAAACTGCTGTGTGGTGGGGTGAAACAGGATGTTAAATTTTTATTTCTGAAAAAAGTACTCACAGAAGTTGATGATGGTTAAGTCCATAAGAGCAAATGATGTTCGTGTTGACACTACTGGTTTAATACACATCCTGAATTACTGGTAAAATATTTTCCACTGACGAATAATCCCAGACTTTAAACACCTTCCATTTTCAAAAAAAACTTCCTAAATTTGTCCAACTAAGCCTTTTTTTTTGCTTAACATACATTTTAACCACCATCAGTTGTAACACATCTTAGCAGATCTCACTTCAGATTGTTCTGAGTTAGTATTTTCTCGATTTTCTCTGACAATCTTTTTGCCTGTAGTTACTCCAGACAGACTATCTTGGAGGCTAATTCTTCACTCGCTTCAAACTCACTGCTGACCCCTCGGACGACAAGGGGCAGCATCCGTAATGTCTGCCAACCCATTAAAAGCCAAGGAAAACCTCCAAAAATAATTTGCTTCATTTAAAACAAAATGACTGTTGGTATTATCCCTGATGTCCTCAACTCTTCCAGCAACTGTCATCAATGAAAAGCTAACCAACTTAAATGGGTTTATTTTCTCTGGATACTTCTTTTTTACTGCTTCAATCAAACACGGTTCAATGAACTCAACATAGTTAAGTGGCTTTCCTTGCTTGGCTAACCAATGAGCCATTCAGAAACATACTTTGCTTGCAGCCTGGTTATGTGCAGAATGAGTTAGTAACAGAAGTACTTACATTATGAGAACGAGACTATTTACATAACTTTAAAATCATGGAAAACAACACTATGTGTTGCCTATGAGTACCTGTGGTAAAAAAATAATGTGGGGAGGGAGGAAGCAGATTCAAGAGGCCCTGGGTAGGTGCCTCTTCTGCTCGGAGATACAACAAGTGGGTCCCTCCGGAAGCAGCTCCTGAGTTAGGCCTCGACCTGGTCGGGGAGGGGTCAGCCCTTGGCATCCTCAGGTGTTTGGCGGGGTCTAAGGTTGAGAGTGCTCTCCCTTGGAGGTGTGTTGCTGACCTTGCCAGCTGAAAACAAACAGCTTCTGATGGTCTTTACTGCTAGGCTTAGAGAAAAACATTGTCACCTGCAGACCAGGTGCCAGGGGTGAGATGCTGAGTTGCCCTGGTATTGAAACTACATCAGAAACTGCCCTGCAGATGGAGTCCCCACCTGGTTAAGCTCATGGGGTCCATGGGCATCCTCCAAGACCCACTGGCCTCTGCATAGACCAAGGCAGCCATTCCAATGGCTCCTCCATCTTTCAGGTTTCTGCAGGAATCGCAGCAGGACACAGTACTATTTCTGGTAGCGCCATGGCAGGTAGAGGCCATTCCACGGGCTTCCACTTGGCCTTGTCCGTGATGGCTGCCCTCGTTCCATGGGTCAGGGGATCAATGCAGGGGTTCTGTCTGTGGCTGCGTGTATCTATTCTGGAACCGAGAAAACAGCTTGTACTTTGGATTAGGGACCCTCTGGGCCCGCCGTGGGACAGGCCTGGCTAACACTGCAATGACCCTCTGATCTCCAGCAGCCTTGCCAGGGGAGGGCCTCCCCCAGTATCTGAGGCTCAGGGAGGTGGCCAGTTGGCTTGCGTTAGTTCTCACAGGGAGACAGGCACCACTTCCCAGTCCCTCATGAGCTGCAGCCTCTGGGGAAGGGACCCATCCCCCAGCTCATAGCTAAAGGCCAGACCTCAGGGCAACATCAAGGGGTTTAGAGTCTGAAATTGGGATCAAAGATTTTCTTCTGTTTGTTGTGTCAGGGGTAGCTCTTTGGAGAAGTTTGCTCTTCTCAGTGTCTATAAATGAACAGCCAGGGGAGGGGAGCAGCGATCCTGGAACCGGCCTTCCTCCAGTCCTTTGTTGTGGAGAGTGCAGTGTGTGGTGTGTTGGAACCTACCCAGCTCTGCAGCCGCCCAAGGAGGTCCTGGGTGGAGCCAATGGGCCAGCGAGGAAAGAGCACTGATGTCAGAAAGTGACAAGCTGGGACCTTGACGTGGCAGCTGGGAGACTTAAACCCTGGTTTCTACTTTCCTAAAAACGAGGCTGAGGACACTCAGTTTTCTCCATAAGAATGTTTGTAAAGGATAAAGGTCTAGTGAAGTTCGGGCTGGGTGGGGGAGCCTGAGACCAGGAGACCAGGAGAGGGTGAGCGGTTCCTGGGAGGGGCCGTGACATGGGCTCATGGGACTGCGTCGCATTAGGAAAAAAACGGAACTGACAAGATTATTTATTGGGTCAGGGAAATCCAAATTTAACTGGGCATCCTGTATTTTTTTCAACGTTAAGTGTTGAACTACTTTTTTCACTCACTATTTTAACCGTGTTTCCTGTTTTCAAATGTGTTTCATTTGTACCCACCAACAAGCAGAATCGAGGGCACAGAAAACTGTTTGCGGGATTTCAGTTTGTTCTCTCAAGCGTCCCAAATCACAATACCTTGACTTGGTAGGAAAATTTTTGCATTAGGAAATAATTTACAGTCAAAGCAGAAACACGGTCAGTTTTTTTTTTTTTTTTAAATACATTAGCCCTTCTCTTTTCACGGGTTGTTAGTTTCCAAGTGCAACCATTTGTAGAGAAGCGTGTCTTATTTTCACCCTTAAGATAACTGTCTGCTTATTCTGCCACCGGAGAAGACCTCGCCGAGTTATTGATGTTCTCACCGTTTATGCCTCAGGCTGTGTGGTCGGATTGTCCACCATGGAGTTTCGGTTTCCAGCGACCGTTTCACCCTCAGTCACCGTAAGAGTTCGTAGACCCTTACTCTCTCTACACTATTTTTGTTCTGAAAACTGCAGTAGCATTTATTCTTTAAGATCATCGCTGCGTCCAGCTGCGAAGGACGTCATTTCCTCTGCGGGCCAGTCCCGACCCCGAGCTCGGAGAGGTGGACGGAGCGTCCAGACCCACATGTACAAACTCCTGGAAAAATCCTCTGTCCCTTTTCCTTCTCTTCTCAAACAACGAAACCCTCTTTTCACATCTGCTGGGATGCTTTCTCCCGAGGTCTCATTTTTGACACGTCATGGTGTTTTTATTTGCTATTTAGTGTCATTCTGGAAGGGTCTTGTCCTGGTCGGCTTGGGCTGCCATACAGAACACCATGGACTGAGTGGCTTACGCCACAGAAGTTTATTCCTCACGGCCCTGGGGGCTGGGAGTCTGAGAGCAGGGTGCCGGCAGGGGCGGGTTCTGGGGGAGCACTCTTCCTGGCTTGCTGGTGGCCACCTTCTCACCGTGTCCTCAGCTGGTGGACAGAGAGAACAAGGAAGTTCTCCGGTCACTGTTCCTAGGAGAGCACACATCCCGTCACGAGGGCCCCGTCCTCATCACCTCCTCTAATCCCAGTGACCTTCCGAAGTCCTGACGCCCCGATAGCATCCCACTGAGAGTCAGGGCTTCCCCATATCAATTGGGGGTCACAGGTCATCCATAGCCCCCCCCCCAAGACATGAAGGAGCGAGTGCTTGCTATAGACTGTGTTCCTATGGGGTCTCCCCAGGGGTCACCTCTTCTGCCTCCCTCCTCGGTGATGGAGGCGAAAGGTTGTGGTCCACAGGCCTCCAGTATGTCCTTGGTCATCTCTGCTCGGAACATGCAACAGAAACGCGGGCGCTGGATTTCCCCGGGCTCATTGTGACGTTTTGTAACCACAGGCTGCCAAGGCCTGAGGCATATGCTAACCAAACAGGACAAAACATGTCTCATGTTAAATATTTCTTAACCTGATTGCGCACTGATTGCGCACTGACTGTTAAATGGTGGAAAGAACTGGAAACACGGGAGGCTCACAGGTTGGGAGGGGCTGGGGGGCCTGGGGGTGTGGGGAGCGCATCGCTTCCCCGTCTCTACCTGCAGCCCCCCACTGGCTGGTTCCTTCCATGGTCAGGGAAATGTGCCTAAAAATGGTCTCTATGTGAGTGGGTCACTTCTAATCTGAAATGTGGTCCCACCGGGGTTAAACGTACATACTCATTGCCTGGGTTTCCTCACCCAGTATCTGGAAGTTGGGCACACTGGGCTGTGGAGTGAATGGCACCAGGGCTGCTGTCCCAGCCCTGCCACCGGGAGCCTCCTTGGACATACTTCTGAGCCTCAGTTTCCTCCTCAGAGAAACGAGACTGATACCACCTGCACCGTGGATGGGCAGTGAGGCGTGAAGGGGTTCCTGTCGTAACCTCGGCACGGCGCCCCAGGCAAATCGATGCTGGGTAAGCGTCTGCCTCCCCTCCCCCTTTTCCGTCTGACTTCGTATCCAAGTGTGCAAAACAACCATACAAAACCGTGTGGCGAGACCAGGCAGCGACGTTTATTGCTTCCACTTTGACGGAGGCTGGTTTACATATCAGTGGACTGTTCGAGTCCCTCCCACGGCCTGTCGTGTGCAGGCTCCGCAGCAGGTGGCAGTGGGGTGTCACCACCCAGGCGGCAGCAGCAGCTCAGAGGTTTGCGGAATGCCTTGTCCAGGAGCACGCAGAGGAGCGGGTTGACGCAGCAGTGGGTGCTGGCGACGACTCTCGTCACCTGAACACTTTTGTCCAGGCTGTAGAGGGCCCTGCAGTCGTGCAGGGAGAAGGACTTCTTGAAAGTGGACAGGAAAAGCGCAACGTTGTAGGGTCCCCACATCAGAAGGAAAACGGCCATGATGGCGAAAACAAGCTTGACAAGGTCCTTGTTCCTGTCCCCAGACCTTAGCCTTTTTCTTCTTCTCATGAAGAGCACAAAGCAAACGGTAAAAACCAGCAGTGGGACAACAAGTACCACAACGTTCGACTTCAAGGTCAGAGAGCGCTCCCAGGAGGAGTCCTTGTCTGGCAGGAGATGAGCCCTTCTCAAGAGGCACTGGTATTGCTGGGTTCCCACCCGAGATATGTGAAACAGGAGTTCAGGCAAAGTGACCAGGACGGCCACCCCCCAGGCCAGCACACTTGCGACGATGCCACAAGGCACCGTCCTGGCGACGGAGGAAAAGCCGCTCTGGAAAAGCCCCAGGCAGCTCTGCAGACTCAGGAGGGCGCTGAAAAGCACCTCGCCGTGCAGGCCCACGGAGCACAGCGTCACGAGAGCCATGCACGTGGGGTGGCCCAGGCGGCCCCCGTGGGAGGCGGCGTGAGCCCAGAAAGGTAAGGTAGACAAGAAACAGCAGTTAGAAATGACCAAGTTTAGGAAGTAGATGTTCTCCACGTGTCCCAGCCCTTTGTACTTGACCAGGGCAAGCACGGCCAAGAAGTTGTCCAGGAGCCCGACCAGGAACACCGCGGTGTAGAGCTGGGGGACCACGTGGGTCAGGAGGCCCGTGGCGTCGTAGGGGTGGCATTGCTCCGTGTCACTGTTGTTCAGATCGTTCTCGATGAGGACGTCATAATCATCGTCTGGTGCCAATGTGTAATTCGCCATCTTCAGGCTGCCCTGCAGAGAAATGAAAAGTTATTACTATTACTATTATTATTATTATTCCCTCACCCAAGGGTATATTTATTGATTTTAGAGAGACATGAAGGGAGAGGGAGAGAGAGGGAAATATATATATATGTGAGAGAGAAACACTGAATGGTTTCCTTTGCACATGCCCGACCAGGGATCGAACCGGCAACTTTTCAGTACCCAGGATGATGCCACCCAGTCCGGGCAAAATAAAACATTATCTTCCTCATATAGCTGTGTGGTCCTGCAGGGAGCAACAAGGAGGTGAGTGCCCGAGGAGCCCCGCTTTCCCTCCTCTGGGGCTTCAGTTTAGCCAGAGGAGGCCTACAGTTGGTAACAGTGAAAATAAACACCCCAACACGCACCTGCTTCCCCAGGGCAGCTGCTGTGCTGGGTCCCGTCGCTGCGCGCCCAGGTGCTCAGGAGTGTGCCAGTGCCACAGGCAAACCCAGGTAAGCGGGACACTTCTTCAAAGAACGTCGTTCTCTTGCTGGGAACGAGACTGCCCACTTGGAGATGATATGTAAGCAAGGAGCCATGAAAGAGAACCAAGGGCCGGATTCACGCGATTGGTGCCAGTCATAACGTCTACGTGCTTAAAAAGCTTGCTCGCCCCGGAACGGCTTCCTGTGGCAGGCTGACAGGTCTGAGTCCTTCTTTCGAAGGGTATGAACCAACGTTTACAAAAGTGAAACCATCCTATGGTCCACACAGACGTCACTGGTTAAGGACAGAGGTGACTTACCACTTGGCCGAGCTGCTGTGGGAACAGCCGGGGCAGTGGAAAGACTGGCTTCCTTCCGAACACACTAGACAGTCCTGACCCTTAGGGGCAAGAGAAACCACTGTTTGTCCCCGGTCGCTCCGGCCCAGCAGCGAAAGGTCTCGGACTGAGATAAAGCCCCTTGAAAGCGCCCCCAGACCCCAGCGTGTTTCTTAAGCCTCCGAGGGAAACCAGGAAGTTGTTTTGTCCTCCGCCTCCCCTGTACCCCGCCTCTGGTTCCCCCCGGCCTTCGCCCGGCCGGCCTCCTCCTGGCTGCCCAGATAAGGGAACTAAGTTATGCTGCTCCTTGCTGATACTGAGGGAGGGCGGGAGGCACTTCTGACCTGAATCATTGAGCAGGGGACAGCCAGCAGCGGAGAACAGTGTCACCCATCATACCTGCAGACCCCAGGGGCCTGGCGGTCCCCTGCAGCCTCTCGTCATCGGCAGAAGCCCCTCCCTGAATCAAGATGGGCTTCCAGAACTTGTAGGGAGGACCGCACTGACCAGCATGTGCGTGGGTTTTTATCATTGCTTTTGGGAAGGAGGTATGCTTTGGCTGACGGACGGGGTGTTGAAGAGAGGATGTCGTCGCGATGGCAGCCACAGAGTGATGTCGGCTGGGAAGGGTGGGGTGCAGGGAATGTGGGCTGCCATGAACCCTGATAGGGGGCGCCAGGGAGTTAGCTGGCTGTTCGGTGCTGCCCCTGCTCCCAGAGGGGGAAGCTGGCACAGGAAGATCCCATGGTCAGGACCCGGGGGGTGTCATCAAGTCGGGGCTTGCAGAGACTGAGAACAAGCTGCAGTGCAGGCAAGGTTGGGGTGGGGGGAGGCTGGAGGCCAGAGAGAGGAAATGGAGACAAGAGTCTGCATTTGGAGCGGAGGGAGAGGGTGGAGGGGAAGGGCCGGGGATGCTCTGGAGGAAAAACGAACTGAGAAGAGGAACTGGAAATAACTGAAGAGTCTGGATGAACTCCCAGGTCAGGCCTTCGTACCTCTGACTGAGCTGGCGGGGGACCAGTCTTGCGGATTGGTTCCAAGCTCGCATCTCCGGTTAAATGTCCATCCTGCTAATGCCAGAGGTATTCGAGGGAGCAGTCGATACAGAACGTGGACCTGTTAAAATAGAACTAGAAATAAGGAAACTAGAAAAGGAAAGGAAAAATAAACATAGGAAGGGCCCGGCCGAATATGGGATTGAGCATTCAGTTTAACTCAAAGGGAAACAAGCACAGGGCTTTCCTCTGCATGCGGGGGATGACCCTGGTGGGAACTGGGGCTGGGACGGATTCCCAGCGTGTCCTGCCCCTCCCCCCAGGATGGGCTTCTGTGAGTGAGTGAGGGTCACTGTGTCCTGGGATGCTCTGTCCCCTGGTGGCAGCCTCAGCCCTGGGACCAGCAGGGGTGGGTCTTTCCTCCTGGGGCTCTGCCCACTGCAGCCCGGCTATTTGGAGCCACGCCCCCGCCAAGCATTACCCGCCCTGGTCCCCCAGGCCCTCGGACCTCGGTGAATAGGTGACGGTGGAGGGTCCTGGTGCTCTGTTGCCTGATGGCCACTGGTCAGTCCCAGGCAAGGGGATGAGAATCACGTTCAAAGTGGAGACTTGAAAAACCCCAGGAATATCTACCCTGCACATGATGTGGTTAAGTGGAGGGAAATACCAGGCAGAAGTCACAAGAAATTTGAAGTTTTTCTAAGAAAAACACTGTTTTGTACATTGAGAACCACCCTAACTTCCAGATATCAGCATGGATTTCAGTTTCAGTATTCTCTTATTTTGGCTCGATCCCTAGCATTCTGCTTATCCACACACCGGCCACGAGACTCTTTTTTTTAAACTGTGATATGATTGACATGGGACCTTGTGTGTGAAAGTGCACAGCCTATCAGTCTGAGGCGTGTATGTGGTGGCCATCGTATGTGGTGGCCTGATGGCCACCATAGCGCCAGCACTTCTGTAGCTTCATGTCATTATTTGTGCTCGGGGTGGAGACAGCAAACATCTGGTCCTTATCGAATTCTGTGTTTATAACACCGTCGTGTTGTCTGTGGTCACTGCACTGTGGATTAACCCTCCAAGGCCACTGGGTTCTGGAAACTTCTAAAGTGGTAGGAAGGAATGGTGGAAAGGTCTGACATTGAGGAAGGAAGAAAGTCTTATTCAGCATTTGAGCGTCTGGAGGCATAACAGGGTCTTTCCGTCGGTGAAGCGGCACCACGTTCTGGAGCGGTGTGGCCTGCGGCTCAGAAACCTTAGCCCTGAGCGCATGCTCCTCCTCATTGCCGTGGGTTAACCCCAGTTTCAGTCCAAGGAGTTATTGTGTTACACGTAGGTCTCGTTTCCTGGTACACATAGATCCCCATTCATTTGATTCATTTATTTAACAAGTATTTAAAGAGCGCCTGGTGTGTGCCCAGCACTGCTCCAGGTGCCAACAATATAGGCAAACATCCAGTCCTTTGTGTGGGTTACATTATACAGACAAAAGCAACATAAACCAGTGCGTTGTAAGGTGGTAGGAAAGGACTCCTACGGAGAAAAACAAAGCAGGGAAGGAAGCCGGGGAGGGCCAGGGTGGTCTCGGGTCCGCGCGGCCCACAGGAGAGTCAGAGACGCCTGGTTGGTGAGGGGCGGTGAAGCAGCCCATGATCAGGCCCCGTGATTAATGCTCATTTTCTCATTTCTTCTTGTTACTAAACTTGTGCATCAGGGAGGTTGCCTTCCGGTAATGATATTTTGCTCCCTAGTTAAGGATCTTGATTCCTTATAAGCAATTTTTTAAAAGATTTTATTTATTTATTTTTAGATAGAGGGGAAGGGAAATAGAAAGAGGAAATGAAACATCAATGTGCAGTTGCCTCTCGCACGTCCCCACTGGGATCCTGGCCCACAACTCAGACATGTGCCCTGACTGGGAATCGAACTGACAACCCTTTGGTTCGCAGGCCGGTGCTCGATCCACTGAACCACACCAGCCAGGGCCCTTATAAAAATTTTAATCAAACCATGAGTTAATCAAATCTTTCGGGTTTAATTGTGCTTTGTGAAGCTGCCTGCTGTCTCAGTGGGGATCCATTTCCTGGTGCATTTGTCCTCTCCGCCGGAGTTCCTCTTTCCTGGGGATTGTTTTGTTTACAGCAGCTTTGTGTGGCCTGAGGGGGCGCACTCCCTTTTGGAGGAGTTTTGCATTGGTTTCCGCCAGATCGTGAGGGACACCAATGGCCTGAGATGAATTTTCTTGGTCTGGATTTGGGGGTCTCTCATTTTGAGAGTGTTATAAAGTGGAACCTCATATTTGCGTGAGTCACAGGTTTTGATTGCCAGAGGAGATTGTCCCTCTACTGCTCAGAGCCTCGGCAAAAACTTCCTTACTGTCCTCTGCCCGTGGGCAGACGTTTTCCAGTCCACCCCCCCCCCCCCAGCCAGCCTCTGCCGGGACCACTCATTCCCGCTGCCCTGCTCACATAGCCCAAGGCTTTGCCGCTGCCCGTGTTGGAGTCCCACTTAGTGGCCTTTTTATGTGTGTGGCCTTTGATTTATCTACACCAGACCGTGACCAACATGATAAACATCCATTGAGTAGCGTTTCAGTAAAAAAGTGTCACCAATTCTTCCTTATCTGTCCCTGCTCCTCTACCCTGCTTTATGTCCAGGGAGACTTATCTTACTAATGGCGGGCCCTTCCCCCACCCCTTCACCCCCTGCCTCTGGTTTTCAGCTGGGTTTGACCAGTGGGGAGTTTTAGGAAGGTCGCTGGAGAGTGAGGTCAAGGGATGTAGCTCCCTGGCTCCTTCCTGGTGGGGCCGACATGTCCCTCGCCCTGGGGGCAGCTCTGTCGGACAGCACCCTCCTGCTGCCCCTAGTGGCGGCACCAGGGGCAGCAGCACCAGGTGCCGAACTCCCGTGCCCCGTCTAAACCTTCGTGAATGGCCCTCTTACCGGCAGTTCTTGGCTGCGCTGCTTGAATTGCCACGTGTTTCCTAGCGACACTGCGGGACACACTCCCAAGGGCCGGGAACTTCACCTGGGAGAACAAGGTGAACCACCGAGGCCCCTTCGCTGCCCTCATGGCGTCCACCTTCTAGACCGGCGGCCCCCAACCTTTTTGGCACCAGAAAAGTATTCCACAGACCGGGGTGGGGTGGGGTTGTAGGGGCGCCAGGAGGCAGAGCTCCGGCGGGAATGTGAGCAAAGCTTCCCCCGCTCACCTGCCGCTCACCTCCTGTGATGCGGCCCAGTCCCTAACAGGCCAAGGACCGCTGCCCGGGGCTTGGGGACCCCTGTTCTAGATGGAGATGGTCAGGTACGGAACTGATTATAATTCAGGGGGGCACGTGCCATGCCAGGGAGGCACGTGGGAGCTGAGGGGCAGTCAGCAAGGGCGCCTGGCCCAGGCCCGAGGGCCCAGGAAGCCCGGTGAGAAGTGCGTGGGCCTGGCTCCTGCCTGTTCCCCCCCACTGTCTCCTTCTGCAGCTCCCGGAGGGACCCTCGACTTGTATGTCGGAAATGGGGGAGGGCAGGGAAAGTAACACAATCCAAGGTGAGGCACTGTGTCGCTTCCTGGCATCTGTGACTGAGGGCTGGTGGAAGAGAAAGTGGGAACCGGCAAACGGGCTGCTTAGACGGCAGCCCCGACAATGCCGAGCTCCCCGGCAGGCAGTCCCCAGAGGTCTTGCTCCCCGGAGACTGCCCGGCAGGGACCCAGCTGAGGCAAGCCCCAAGAAAGGGAGAAACTGACCTCAAGAGGGCCTCAGCTGATCCTGCGAGGAGCCCCAGAGCTGGGCCGGCCCTGAGGGGAAGGGCCCAGGCTTCGGCATCCAACATCAGCCAGTCACTGGCCCCTGCTGTTCCCTGGGAGGGGCACAGTCCGGCAGGCAGGTCCCAGTGGCTGAGGGCGGTTCCCGGGAGGGGGGGCAGGATCCCCATCCCAGCAGCAGGGACGGTGGGAGCATTGACCCTGAAGAGGGGGCCCAAGCAGAGCCCATAGTGCCCACCACACGCGCCGAGTGTCCTGGGTTTCCTGCAATTGTCACTTACCCTAAGGACAAGAAATCGAAACTGAAATGTGCAAAACCACTGTGTCGTAAGACCACGTGTCCGTCCGTTGTGTGGTTCTGCAACAGGAGTCACGTGAGCTCATTCCATGTGAGCGGGCCGGTCCCTCGGTTGCCCACCTGTGGTCATCAGGACATGAAGAGAGGAGTTGACAGAGAGTGAGAAGTGCCCTCCCACCCGTGGCACCATCCCGTACTTTTCCCTTCCTCCTTCTCCATCGAACTGGTCCCATGCCAGCCCTCGTGGGGTCGGGCGGGTGGGACAGTCACTGCTTCCATATTAACCATATTTTAAGGAGGTAAGATCTTTTCTTATGAACAGAGGTGAGAGGTAATAACCTAAGTAGCATCCTCCCTTTGGAGATATTCCCTTTAACAAAATGAAACCACGGCACATTTTAACTTAGTAAGACTGGGTTGGGCCCTGACCCTCAGCCCGGACAGTCGCTCCGGGCCCTTTGGGGCCCAGGCCCGGTGGAGCCCCAGGCACTGGGGACTGAAGGCTGTGCTCCCTCCCTGCCCCATGCTCCCCCGGGGAGGGTCCCTGAGGCCCCTCGGAGGCTC